CAGATGTCTCTTCTGCATCTCAAAGTGAAGGCCACTTTAATGTACACTGTTCTGCAACTAGTTAAGTTTTAATAAAAGAACAGTGCTTCAAAGGTTTGAGTCTGCTGGAGAGGGAAGGAGGAAAGTAACCAGCTCAGAACACTCTATCTAAAATAAACTCCATTATGGTAATTAAATAACCCTGGGACTACATGTAAGGAGCTGCCTGTTCCAGAAAGTTATATTTATTTGTAGTTTGGCTGGTTTGCCAGCTGGATGACTGCCTTGCGATTCAAATCAGGCCACATTAGAACAAGTGAACTGATTGGCAGTGGCAAGTCAAAGTCATGCAATCATAGAATAGCAGAGCTGGAAGGGGCCAGAGGGCCATTGGGTGCAACCCGCTCCTCAGTGCAGGACATCAGGTTAACCCATCCCTCTTAGGTGGCCGTCCCATTGCATCTTGAATGCCTCCGGTGTGGGAGAGGCCAGGAGCAAGCTAGTAATTGGCTCCTTTGCCCCACTGCTCTAAAAGCAACCAGTCAGGGAGGCGTACCTCACTTCTTGGTGCGTGATGTCACGATGCATTACGTGATTGTTAACTAAGGCTCCCAAGATGCAATTTGATATCTGGCATGCGGAACATGTACACAGAATGAAATCTTGAATTACAAGAGAACTTTCATCTGAAATTACACAATGATCATGTTCTTTCCTGAGAGAATAATGAGTTCACTGGAGGAAAGATCACTCCACGCGACCATGCACTCCTTTGGAAAAACTATGGAGTCTGAATGCGAAGAATAGATCACTACCCAAAATGCTAATGGATACACATGATAATGAAATTGAGGAAGTTCGACAAAGATGGGGGAGAGCATTTAGTATATTGGTAGAGGAAGAATAATTGAATCCTGCAAGTCCAAAAATGGAGGCTTGTATTAGATATGATGTCTAAGAAAACCTGTGGATTATATGTATTGGTGTATGGTATTACACACCAGTCAACCAGCTTATCTAGGATATTTCCAGTAGTGCTAAACCTCTCCTGGAGATAACTGAGCCCTCCTGCATTTTCTTTTATGAGGATTACAGTGTCCTTCCCACAAAGTTTTTCCAAGGGTTTCCCCTCTGTTTCTCTATGTGCTGCATCATATAAAACAAGGAGGCTCTGTGGAACAGAGTGGGATTGCTACAATACTCTAGGTTTCTGCTGCAAATATTGCTGCCATTTCAGGAAATAGCTGGCTTTCCTTGCTTTGGAAAAGGCCGCAAAAAGAGCTGTAAAACAAGGAGAGCCGTGTAGTGGTTTGTGTGTTCGACTGGGATCCAGGGGATCTGGGTTCCAGTCCCCACTTGGCCATAAAGCTCACTGGATCACTTTGGGCCAGTCACTGACTTGCCTCACAGGGTTGTTGTTGTGAGGATAAAAAGGAGAGAAAGAGAAGGAGGATTATGGAAGTCTCCCTGAGTTCCTTGAAGGAACGAAGGTTGGATATAAATATAATAAATAAATAGGAGAAGTCTTGAAGGATGACAGTTTTGTGTGGAGGACCCAGAATCTTCTGTGCAAGAAGGAGCAAGGGCTGCATCATAAATGCCCTATGTAGAAAAGTCCAGAGTAGTAGAACATTTGTCCATATATGGTGGCAATGTATAGGAATATAAATAATTGTCTTAGAGAAATCACAAACTGTGAGCTACAATTAGTACCAACAGTTACACCCTGGATGATACTAAAGAGCAGATCCCTATTTGTTTATCCATATTTTACTCTATTTAAAATATTTCTTCACTGCTCTTCAGGACAGAGAACCTGCCAAGGCAGTGCACAGTAATAAAACACTTATCAACACTGATAGGATATTAGGCAGGATAAAAACACAATAAAATAGCAATAAAAGTAACAAAACAAGCAATAAAAACCACAGCAAAGCCAGCAGCAACAGCAAATACTACCGGAGAAGGACAGGGTGTCTATTTCTCTTTATATAACCAAAGAATGTTATGTATTATTAATTATTTAACTTGTATGCTGCCCCATTAGCCATAGGTTATCTGGGCAGCTCACAACATGATTAAAAAAAAACTATTTCTTTTGGGGCAAAGACATTTGTCACTTATAGAGACACCCTGTAAGTTTCAACTTTCTCTACAGCAATTCTTATTAAGCCTTAGTTGGATAAACCTAAATGCAGAGTGAAGTTCTTTTTCAACACCATTGTGCTAAACCCCAGCCCAAAATAAGTTCAACATCATGGATAATACCCACATCAGATTAGGCAGCACCATCCTGCATCCCCCCAGACAATCAAAATTTCCATGTGAACCTTTATTATTGCTAGTGAAGCTTCTCTCAGGCCCCAGCTACAAACCCTCTTGGCAAACCTGTGACCATTCCCCATTAAATCTATGTGTGTGTGGGGAAAAGGAGTGAGAATTCCACTTTCAAAGGAAGACAGAGTCAGGGGGTGGGTAATAGACCTCCTTCCATCACCCATCCTTTCTTTAACAGCCCCTGCCCCTTCCTGATGCTTTTCTGGAAGCATCCATGCTGGTCCATGCTTCTAGTGTTGAAGCCCAACTGTGAGGAAAAAGAAGACATTAGCTTATAGAAGAGTCATATCTAATATATCCCTTGAATTTTTATTTAGGCACTCCCTTTTTATACGCAGGGTGGGCCAAAAGTAGGTATACAATACTGATCAAGCCATGTTTAGTTTCTTCTTTGTTGTTGTTTAGTCACAAAGTTGTGTCTGACCCTTTGCGACCCCATGGATAACATTCCTCCAGGATCTTTGGTCCTCCAGCATCCCCCAGAGTCCAACCAGCCCCACATCCACTGCCTCAGTGACCCCATCCAGCCACCTCAACCTCTGCCGTCCCCTTCTCCTTTTGCCGTCCATCGTTCCCAGCATCAGGGTCTTCGCCAGTGACTTGTTCCTTCTCATTAGGTGGCCAAAGTTTCATCTTCATCTTCCGCATCTGTCCTTCTAAAGAGCAGTCAGGGTTGATTTCCTTTAGGACTGACTGGTTTGATCACCTTGCAGTCCAAGGGACTCACAGGAGTCTCCTCCAGCACCACAATTCAAAGGCCTCAATCCTTTGGCACTCAGCCTTCCTTATGGTCCAACTCTCACAGCCACACGTTACAACTGGGAAAACCATAGCTTTGACTATATGAGCTTTTGGCAGCAGGGTGATGTCTCTGCTTTTTAGTATGCTGTCTAGATTTGCCATAACTTTCCTCCCCAGGAGCAAGTGTCTTTTAATCTCTTGGCTGCAGTCACCATCTGCAGTGATCTTAGAGCTCAAGAAAATAAAATCCGTCACCTCCATTTCTTCCCTGCCTCGTCTCTTAGGTACTCAAAATGTTCTCCATCAATGCTGCAACATTTCTGGAACCTATCTCCGACACTGTGACACAAATTCCAGTTAGCACCAATGTCAATAAATACTTGCAAGATAAACTCCTTCAGTTCATCTACTGTGTGAGGTCCTCCGTGTCCCAAAGTGTACAATATACCTACTTTTGGCCTGCACAGTACATAAATAAAATGCTTACCTACCTTTGATTGCAGAGCAGCAGGCATAGGCTTGTGATCGTGAAAGAAATGGCAGTATGAAATGGAGGGAGGGAAACGAAGTCCACAGGCGACTGTCTCCAGCCCCTCATATGTGCTTCTCAATTAATGCAAGAGTCTGGCTACACATTATATTCGCGGCTTTGAAAGCAGCCAAGTGTGCACTTACCTGCTGACACTGCTGAAGACAAGCAGGAAAAATTCTGTGGGAGCCGCTGGTTGAAAGGGCCTGTCAGAATGACCCAGAAGAGAACATGCTCTTGTTCCAAACAGGATCCAAGGTATTTCCATTTCTGATTCAAAGTAGTGCTAGGAGCAGCTGGACGTCCAGCTGTCATATAACCTTCCTGCGCCACTTCATGTTTAGACTCTGAACATGCAAAGATTCTCATTTCACCACCAAGGTGGAAAATTCCCCCCCCCCCCGCACATGTTCTCCACCTTACTCTTGCTAACTGCTGTGCACTTATAGGTATGCACCTGCCACTTGGCTACGCACCCTGAAGAGTCAAGTTCAGTTGATCCTTGCCACTCCCTTCTTATACCTGGCCTTTTTCCCACCATCCAACTAGAAACGATCCATTCATTTTGTTGAAACACATTTGCAAGTGTAAAACCCCTCAAAACACAGATGGCCATACACAGTCATAGAGTTTGGTTTGGCTGGCCCTTCCTTGTGACAGAATCTTTGTTTTCAATCTGCAAGGAAATAAATACTCGCGTCCATAGGAAAGATCAAACATCTGAACCTCTGGTGCTTTATTGATTGGTGATTCAGTACCTGCAGTCACTAATAATAATATATTACCAGGTAGAGGCAAACTCAACTGCAAAATCACAGCCCATGTACAGACACTTTTATAACCTGCTAGTCATGTACACCAATGCAGAGTGTTCAGTTTCCAGATAATGTTGGTACAATTTTTTAGGCATGATGTCTTTAGGCATGACATAGTGTTCTATACTGATCAGAAATACCAGTAACAATAGTATGGAAAACATTACTGATTGCTGCATTGATAGGTCAGTCTAGCAAATTCTTGACAGTTCAGGTCAGCCAGCGGAGCTGTTTAAACATACAAAATGTGTCTGATGGAGGAACCATTCAGGCAATCTGGTTTGACAACCACACTCAGCAGGGGCTTGCCTCTGTGGGACTAGATGCTTAGGTGGGTCTGTTCGGAAACAAATGGACACCATTGTTTCAGCTTTCCTGCAGCTGAGGAGAACGCAGGTATTTCCTCACTCATAGTGTTAGCTTCCAACAGTTTCTCAGTCCATCTTCCTAAAGTAACAGCAGGACTATTTTATTTATTTTTTATTTATTAAAACATTTCTATGCCGCCCCTTGCCGAAGCCTCGGGGCGGCTCACAACATAGAGCAACTAAACAGTGACCTGGCTTGGAATGCAGGTGCTTTCTGAGAAAGGGCTGCAGGTTTGATTTTATAACACAAAGGCACATATAAGCAACCTTTTCCTATCAGGATTTATCTGAATTTTCCCAACACTTGGGGTTTCTGGTCACATTTTATTACATGCAGTTGAAATCAATGTTCCACAAACATATTTTCCTGAAGTTGAGTGGTCCAGAGAGGCACTTATAGCTCTGTGCGGAAGGTCAGGCCAGTGCCTGCCAGTAACTGGGTACAGATGTCATCCAGCTGTTTCCTTTGAGCCTCTGAGAAGTGTTCCTTCCAGTCTCCGACGATGCCTGCAAGCAGAGAAAGCTGCCATAAGCCCGTCCTCTCTGTGCCACCCCTCATCCTTGGCCTCAGCTTTCACTGGTGCCTTAGCAACCGTCTGAGTCCTCCCAGGGCAAACCAGAAGGCAGCTCCCTAAAGCTCCTCAACATGGAGCATGTGAGCATCATGCCACCCACAAACAACTCCAGTGGCGCCCATAAAGGCGTCCCCAACGTAGTGCTCAAGGTAAACCCTTTTTAAAACATTCTGTTTTTCAAAATACACATTCATGAATTAGTATACATCCATAGCAATGAATATATCAGAAATGTATCATACATTTGCATTGCAGCAGGTGAGTGTTCTCCTTCCAGTCTGGCCAGGACGACTTCTTTTCTTTTCTTTTCTTTTCTTTTCTTTTCTTTTCTTTTCTTTTCACTTCTTTTATATCGTTTATATTTTTTATTTATTTATTTTATATTATTTATTTTAATTTTATATTGTTATTTTGTATTGTATTGTATCTTATTGTGTTGTAAGCCGCCCCGAGGCTTCAGCAAGGGGCGGCATAGAAATGTTCTAATAATAATAATAATAATAATAATAATAATAATAATATCCAAGTTTTGGTGCTGCGAGGGCAAAGAAAAACCATCTGGACAGCTGTCTGAGAGGGATGGTTCAACTTGGAGTCCTGCACTGAGCAGAAGTTTGGACCCCATGGCCCTCTGGCCCCTTCCAACTCTACTCTATGATTTGGTGGTTTATGTTGACCTTTTTGTTTATTTCCATGAAGCAGGTATCACTCCTTTTTAACAGGACAGTTATATCTGGCCTTTCTTCCTCTTCAAGGAACCCAGGGCAGCTCATACGCTCCTCTTCCTCTCCATTTGATCATCATGGGAGGTAAATAAGTTAAGAGGAAGGAGCTGGGGCCCAAACTCACACAGGAAACTTCATGGCTGAGTGGGGGCTCAAAGCCATATCTCCTGAGTCCCAGTTTAAGATGAACCACTATTACCTCAGTGTTCCTAGAAATAATCACATTGTGTATTTTGTGGGATGGCACTAAAGCTTCTCTGGTGCCAATATCCACAGAGCAATCTTCTGCCAACAAGAGGAAAGAGTGCAAAATGATCTTAGACATCACCCAGCTACTAACACCCCGTATGAGGTCTGAGAGGCCCTTCCAGGGATGGAAGCAGCTGTCCTAGCTTTATGTTCCTCTTCAACCTTACCTTTTCTCATGAACGGAGGCATGTTCGGATCTACAAGTTCAGGCGGCATGGTGCTGAGATTGCACATCGGGTTTGCTTTCATGCTCTCAAACTGCGTGTGCTGCACGATCCGGTTCAGAATTGGCTCTGGGAGCTCTACACCCAGGAAATGCGCTACCTTCCGGATTTCCCGGGCTAGATCCTGGGAAGGAAAGAGAAAGCGAGAGCGCGTTTCCATACAAAATATTTGTTGTGCACTTGTCATTCCTTACTCACAGTGCTTTACAGGTTGTTCAGATGGCATTGTGATCACCCAGTTTCACTTCTATTTATTTTAGTTACTTATATATTTTATATACCACCCATTAGTCAAAATGGTTCTCTGTTTACAAACAGCACTTTCAGCAAGTTTTTGTAGAGCAGGGAAAATAGGGTATTATTTCTCATGATGAAAGGAAACGCTGTTTCCATTTGTTTATTTGCACTCTTCTGCTACCCAGAGCCTCTCCAGAGCTGGGATCAGCACTGAAGGTGACCAAGGGACTGGTGTGCCCCCCTGATCAGGCCGCAGCCCAAATGCTAACTGTTCAAGTCTCCTGCCTGCTCTTCCTCAGCTTTTCTTTAAACTGGACCTGAATTCAGACAAAAAGGGCAACTTCAAGAAAAGCCTGCCAGGGATTCCAAGGGAGCTGTGCTTCCTTTTCTGATGTGCTTTCTTTAGAAAGTTCCTCATACATGAGAAACTGGGAGGGCAACAGGAGGGAAGAAAAAAGCACCGATCAGGGACAGGAGGGAACAGCTGCCATTGGCAGCATTTGCCGGTCCCCAAAATACGTGCATAATTGTTTAATGCAGCTGAAAATGCTGACTGATTACTGCGAGGTCAGGGCTGTCAATACAAATCATGGGACTACATGGGACTGTAGAATCCATGTGGGAGGAGGCCCATGCAATAAACTCCCCCCCCCCCCGCATGGCTCTAAACAAGGCTTGGCCCCTGTGTGTGTGTGGGGGGGGGCAGGTACTTGCCTCTTTCATGTCTTCATAGAAGAGGTACAGAATCGGGTGATGATCCTTGGCCTTCCACCAGTTCAGAATATGGTCAGACCAAGAGCCCCAGGCGACTGTGAAGGGAGACACGAGAAGCAGAGTCGGCAGTGGGTCCCTGGTTTGTCTCCCACCTCCCCTGCCTCCCCACTCAGTCCAGCCTTCCCCACATGGGCACGCACTAGATGCTTTGGACTTCAACTCCCATCAGCCCCAGCCAGCATGGCCAATGTTCACGAATAAGTTTGTAGTGTAAAACATCTGGTGACCGGAGGGGGAACCAGGTTGGGAAATAAATACCTTAATATATTACAGAAAGTGCAGTTGAATGATTCACAGATTCAGATTTTTGCTGAACCATCGATCAGATGATAGCAGCCACCTTTGTGATTTTGTAGCTTCTTTTTCTTTTCATGCCCTAACACACACACACACACACACACACACACACACACACACACACACAGAGAGACACCTACCTCTTTCAGGACCTGCTAATCCTTGCCGCACAGCTATTGCACTAAAGCGTATTGGAGTTCACCGATGTTCATGTTGAAGCTACTTTGGCTCATTCCTGTTTCGATTTGCAGCCTATTTTTCCATACACTCAAAGTGCACATTTTTCAAACCTGGATGCAAGTTCAGGAATGTGAGAACATTTTTTAAAAATGTTCTCCCATTCACATGCTGGATTGTGAATGGGGCAAATCTCGATGATTTGTGAGCTAATAAGAAATTCTCATACATCTCTAATTGTAGTAGGCTCCATTCCTTCTCAAAGACCTGAAGACTAAACTCAAGGATCCTGGCCCAATCTCCTGGATGGAAAAGGTGCCAAGATTTGGTCTCTTTGCTCCTACGTTTCATTACTGGCTTCTACTCACCCTTCCCAGCAATGAACTTCTCCAAAAACTCATCCCAGTTTCCAGGTTCTGGAAACAGCTTGCCCATGCGGTGGAAGTGGAAGTAAGAGACTGCAACGTCCTTCGCATTCCTGGCCACGTATATGATCTGTGGAATTCCAGCATCAAGAAAAGGGAGCCCAGGAGTCATAGCTCCAAGAATTTTGCTCTCCACACCCACACTATTCAAAATTCTCCTCCTCTTCCACTTTAATCCCATTGCCTTCTTTTGTAATATTTTCCACACGTTCCAAGCTTGAGCCAGGCAATAGAAAGAACTTCCAAGATGAACCGTGGCTCAGGGGAAGTCCATCAGCTTCATTCCATTTGCACTCACCTTGCAGTTCTGTTCCCAGAAGGAAGGAGGCAGGAGATGGACTGGGAAGTGAGATTTGAGTGTTCTTGGGGAAGGCATGGCCTCCACCATTTCGAAACCTGAAATGTGAGGTAGGAACAAATCGGACTTATGCTGAATAGAACCCTCCTTTCACCCTCACCCAGAATCTTCCTGAAGCAGCACTTCCTCCTCACCTGTGGGGAGAAGTTTTATAAAACACATCTCTATAAAAGGTATCCGTTCGTAGATGGGGGCCCGTGCACATTTCTGTACGTCTCCTCCTTGCTGTATCATGTCCACAATTTCCTGCATCCAGGTGGTCCCTGGCGAGGAGGGTTGTTGAGAAAAGAGGCATGGAAAATGTACCATTGATCCAGTGGTCTGTAGTTTCACAGCTCTATAACTCCCTCTTCCATAACTTTTCCTCTTCCCCTCAGCCCATTTCTCCTCAGACCCCATTTACCTGCCTTGGGATAAGTGCAAATGAGAAGGTCATCAGGCCGGGCTTTAAAGTTCCACAGAGAATCCCACTGCTCCACCAGGTCTGGGAACAAAGGGACCCCCTGCACCTCTTCCAAGGTGCAGCGCTTGGTATCCTTGGGGTCCAATGCCTCCATTGCTGACTGGAAATCCATCCTCTGGAGTGGGTGCCAGGATCGCCTCACCCTCTCTGTCAGAATTAAGCACAAGCTCCGTTCTTCCAATCAACAGGTCTTACTATGTTAAGCTGTAAGTCAGCAATGCTGCCTTTGGGTCACAATAATACATGAACAAACCTGTGTTCCCATTCCATAGAATCAGTTCTTTAATGCAGTCTGACCCAGGTGAAAGTTGATTTCAGACGTCTTAAAATTAGCTAATGCCTTTCCCTTCCCAGCGACCAAAAATCAAACCCTCAAGACAGTCCCTGATTTCTCAGAGCCGGTTAGCAGAATGTCTCACTCCACATCTTTGAACTATCATGTCCGTGTCTCCCACCTGCTCCTCTTCAGAAATACTCTGGCTTCCTATTACAGGAATACCTGGGGCCCTCCCCTCCCCTCTTGCTTATTTCTTCTGACCTTGGCTTTTAGTTTTCGCCTCCTCCTTTCCCCTTCATCTGAATCAATATCCATTCCCACACCATTTGGGGGTTCCTCTGTGACTCCAGTGAGCCTTGATCCCTAGGATGGGAAGGGCAGGGAAACATTAACCAGCAAGTATATTTTCTTCATGCCTCTGAACTACACTTCTTGCCCTCTTTATCCTGGTGCTAACTGCTGGCCCCAGAGTGAAGATGCATGTCCACCTACCAGGTCCTCTCTCCTCTCTCAGACTGTCTGATGTTCTTTTCTGCTAAAATCTGTCCCTCTCTCTCTCTTGCTCCCTCACTTTAGCTCATGGCTCATGGGTGTGTTTTGAAAAGAACCGGGTGTTTCTTTGTTCACTGGTGCTTTTTTTTTTGCATGCAAATGCTTGGCATTTAGCCAGGACTTTCCCTAGTTCACTGTATGTACCATCTAATGAGCTGACTTATGTGGGGTTACATGTGTATCTCTGGGTAAAAGTGCATTACACCGACATGGCATGAAAGCTACTGGAAGAACTTCAACCTCTGTTAAACCAATAAAAGAGGTATCCTTGGGTGCAGTGCCCGAGAAGTTCATGCAACCTTATCTGAAGATAGCAAGGGCATAGCCTGTGTTCAATAATTTTGACCAGTGGAAACAGGAAAACCACCTCAGGCACCGCTGAGGTAGAAACAAAAAGCACCATACACATAATACAGTATTCTGTGTGTTAGTTTCCACACACAATACCCCCCCCCCAAAATGAAAATTCTCCAAAACAACCAGAAACTGAACAACAAAAAATGCCAACAAAAGAACAAAATGCTGCAATGGGCATGGTGTGTCTCCCAGCCGGCTCCCACTGAGGCGTCTCTGGCAGGAAATCTCCCGCGGACTGGCACCAGTCTGCAGACCGGCAGTTGAAAACTGGTTTAGAACAAGGAGCCCTGCAAGGGTTGCTGGGATGCCAACATTCAGTTTGGAACCAGCACTGCACCCAGATTGAAGACAACACACAGTTGGAATGCTTAACATCACTATCCTAAAAAATTTTTGGTCAGAAATAGGCCCCACATTCTCTGCAGAGGCTTCCTTCCTTCCTTCCATCCAAGTGCATTTAAGGACTGCAGTCTTGGCTTGCATTTGGACACGGGGCTCCCAAAGTTACTAATTACAAGGCATCATCCAGCTGGTCTCTCTTTTCTTCCTTTGCAATTTTAACTTCTGATAAAGAAAATCCAAAAATGATGCTTTGTAAAACATGAAAGGCTAAAAAAGAAGACAACATTTTCTGGACACCCTGTTAAATTCCATGACTAAGGCTGGGCAATTGCAGAGTTTAACCTGTAGGACATGCATCGCAAAGGAAGCTTTTGCAATGTTTTGCGATCTTGCCAAGTTATCTAGTTTGTGTCAAATTGCAAAGGGTGTCAAAGGAAAGTTACATCTATTTTTCCTTAGAACAAATGACATCGCACTGGCAATTGATAAAAGATACTACTTTAACTCATGGAAATTCATGTTTTGTATTTCTTCCCAAATAACTTGTAGAACCCTAAAAAATGAAAGTTTGACACTTGCTACTTTTTTTCATCCTACATCACTTCAGATATTATATTCAAACCACCTAGAGAAATAAATACGGTAAGAGGTATGTAAATTTATTAAAGAATAATCATTCAACAAAGATTAAAACTCAGACCTAGAGCAACTGCTCAGCTCATCCACCCATAAGGTTGGCTCTTCTAGGAAAAAAGGCTATTTGCATCTGGAAGTACACTGGAATGGAGAAAACAAGTGCCAGGTAATAATACAGTAACATTTTATTTTTCAGCACATTTTGATTAGTAGCATATATTCTGGTCCTTCTTCCAGGGCTATAAAAATCTAGGGGCAATACATTATGTACAAATGTTAAGTAAGGACAAAGATACATTTTATCAGCATGGTTATGTAAGATATTTTTTAATTTTCATGTAAATAAAAATGAATGTTTTGTACAGAAGAAAGGACGTTGTGGAACTGCCTGTAAGGTTGAGACAGGTGGGCAGGTTTCAACACACTCTTTCTATTATCTTCTGGAACTGTAATTCCCTGTACTTCCAATTTAGATCTAATTAGGATAAGCCTGTATACTGTTGCCTTGCTTATTTAACTTATATGCAGAACACATCATGAAAAAGGTGGGGCTAGATGAATCACAAGCTGGAATTAAGATCTCTGGGAGAAATATCAACAACCTCAGATATGCAGATGATAACACTCTCATGGCAGAAAGAGGAACTTAAGAGCCTCTTGATGCGGGTGAAGGAGGAGAGCACAAAAGTTGGCTTGAAACTCAACATTAAGTAAACTAAGATCATGGCATCCGGTCCTCTCACTTCCTGGCAAATAGATGGGGAAGAAATGGAGGTAGTGACAGATTTTATTTTCCTGGGCTCCATGATCACTGCAGATGGGGACTGCAGCCAAGAAATTAAAAGATGTTTGCTCCTGGGGAGGAAAGCTATGGCAAATCTAGACAGCATACTGAAAGGCAGAGACATCACCCTGACGACAAAAGTGCGTATAGTCAAGGCTATGGTTTTCCCAGTGCTGGAGAAGACTCCTGCGAGGCCCTTGGATTGCAAGGAGATCAAACCAGTCAGTCTTTAGAGGAGATCAACCCTGACTGCTCTTTAGAGGGCCAAATACTGAAGATGAAACTCAAATACTTTGGCCACCTAATGAGAAGGAAGGACTCCCTGGAGAAGAGCCTAATGCTGGGAACAATAGATGGCAAAAGAAGAAGGGGACGGCAGAGGATGAGGTGGCTAGATGGAGTCACTGGGGCAGTTGGTGTGAGCTTAGGTGGACTCTGGGGGATGGTGGAGGACAGGAAGGCCTGGAGGAATGTTGTCCATGGAGTCGTGATGGGTCGGACATGACTTCGCGACTAAGCAACAGGATAAGCCCACATTAGCAGACCAGTATCTACAAGTTTAGGTATCATTTGGCCAGCTTTCCCCAATGTGGCACCTTCCAGGCATATTGCACTGCAACTCCCATCCTTCCCAGCCAGCATGGCAATTGGTTGAAGAAGGCTGAGCCACTGTCTGCCGTCTTTAAACCTATTATTGTGTTACTTCTGCAATCTAATTACTGACTTCATGTGAAGATAAAATAAATAGACCCTTGATATGCTACCTTGCAATCCTTTGAAGAAGAAGATACGTGGTACAAATTTATTTCTCTCATCATCAGAAAGTGAGGATGTGGGGGAATAATTTCAAACTAATACAATCAATCCACTGAAATTCATTTGCAAGGGGGAAAAAGGCCCTTAAAAACAATAGATTTGATTTTTATAAGATCCATCCTCTACCGCACTTGCATGGATGAACATAACGTGTGAAGTATTGAGGATTATTTTCTTTAGAGCAGGTGAAATCAACAGGCATTTGGGCAAAAAATCTTTGCAGCAGCCAAAGAGAGATCCTTATAGCTGCGTGCGGAACTTCAGGTGGTTGTTTTCCAGTGCCGGGCCACAGATGCTGTCCAGCCATTCACTTTGTGCCACTGTGAAGTGTTCCTTCCAGTCTCCTACAATGCCTGCAGGAAGGGGAAAACAGATCGAAGCACATTAGCAGTCCACGTTGTTTTTCTCTTTCCCTTCTGTTCTAACACGGCAGATTTCAAACTCTCGAGAGCACGTCTCTTACTCCCAAGCAAGCCCTAATAATATGCGAGAGAAGACTGTCTCCTTATCTATTCACGCTGCACCAGCACAATTTTGCCCACCTCTGTTTCTCGCGACATAGTAGCTATATGGCCCAAGACATTGTGATCTCTCCTCACGGGAGCCGCTTCATCCCCTCAGCATTTCAGTTGCCCTTTTCTGCACTTTTCCAACTTGACAAAATCCCTTTTTCCATGCTGTGACCTGAACTGTACATAGTATTGCAACTGTGATTATACCGTCTACTTAAGGGCAGCATGAGAGTCATAGTTTCGTTTTTAATACCTTTTCTAATTTTGCGCAATATGGAATTTGCCTTTGCCACTGTTTATACACACTGGGTAGACATTTCCAACATGCTGTCCAGCATAACTGAGGCTTTGGCAAACGGGGCGGAATATGAGTTTACTAAATAAATAAATAACCCCTCAATTTCTTTCCTGATTAGTTTCCACTGGCTCAGATCCTATCAGCTTATATGTGAACCTGGGATTTTTTTGCCCATCTTGCATCATTTGAAGAGTCCAGTCCAAAACCCATTTATTGTTAAAGAACTATAAAAAGAGAGTGCATCCACGGGCCCTGAAGATGTCCATCCACAGTTAGCATCTGGCCAGATATATTGTATTTCTATTTCTATTATAGTTATTTCCAAATCTTCACCTATAAATATAAATTTACACATGCAACTGTTGCGCAGATTGCTGGTCTTCTTATTGAGGATCTTTCCTCTTTTGGGTTAATGCATAAGGTTATGCCCATCCCCTCTTTTCTTCTCTCTTTTTCTGACATCCCTCCTCAATCTCTCTCTAACTCTCTTTCCACCACCTGTTTCTCTTTCCCTCGCTGTTTGACACCACTCCTTCTCCTTCTTTCTCGCAGCCTCTTCTCCCTCACACACACTGCTCTCCCTCTATCCCTCACCCCTTTCCTTCCTACCCAGCAGGTGGTCAGGAGAGGAACCAATAGCTCTTGTTGGAGAGCTAAAGTAATCCCTTGTTGGAGACTTCTGAAACTAGGATGAAGCGACATCCAGCTTTTGGGCATAGCTTGCCTCCCTCTGGCTTATCTCTCATGGTGGGCCATTCGTAATGCTCCTGAACTGGATGCTCTTGACCTCTAACTATGAGTGCAACCTACATGCCCACTCAGGCCCACTCAGCTCCGACGGGCAGGCACCCCTGGGGCACCAGAGACTGCCCCATCCCACAACCAATTCAAGGTGTTGGTAATGACCTATAAAGCCCTAAACGGCTTGGGTCCTGGTTACCTGAAGGAGCGCTTACGTCCATATATGCCCAGCCGCCCCTTGAGATCAGCGGGAGAGGCCCTTCTCTGGGAACCCTCCGGGAAGGAAATTAGGAGGGTGGCTACTCGGAGGAGGGCTTTCTCTGCGGTGGCGCCCAACTTATGGAACACGCTCCCCAGAGAGGTCCGCCTGGCGCCGTCGTTATTTGCTTTTCGGCGCCAGGCGAAAACCTTTTTATTTAAGCGGTATTTTAACTGTTAGTATTAACTGATTTTATCTGGCCAGGGCAGCTTATTTTATATTGTATTTTTTGGATTTTTAATGTTTATATTAATTTATTGTTGTAAACCGCCCCGAGGCTTCGGCGAATGGGGCGGCATAAAAATGTTTTAATAAATAAATAAAAATAAAAAACCAGGGTTCAGAGGAAAGGGCCACAGGAAGAATGCCTTATTCAGGTAAGAACTTCATTTCTGGGGGAGACCAACCTGACCCCATGCATTTTATCCTGTAAAATCGATGCGCAACATCTATTGTGGCACTTTATAGTGTTGAAGCAATGATGAAGATGATAGTGATGATGGCTCAGCTCCTATTGGATGCACCTGGAGCTCAGCCTCTGGTCCTCACCTTTTCTCATGAAGGGTGATACAGTCTGGTCCAAGACAGAAGAAGGCAAGTTGGTGTAATTCGTCATTGGGTTTGCTTTCATGCTCTCAAATGTTGTGTGCTCCACAATCCGGCTCAGCACTGGTTCCGAGAGCTCTAGGCCCAGGAACTGGGCAACTTTCCTGATTTCACGAGCTGGGTCCTGGGGAAGGAGACAAGCATTTTGATGCAGAGCCTGGAAAATAGGGTTGTGCACAGGACATTCCATACAAACCAAGATGTAAAGATTTAAAATCTCACCGAAGAGAAGATACCGTACTGTCATGCTGTTCCCTCACAATTGCCCAAAATACTTGTGATCTGGCATCAGGAAAGCTACAAGGAGCTTCCAGTGAACCAGATCTGCTTATTTAAGGGCCTCCGTTTGGGATTTTGGAGTCTTCTATGTTTTGGGGTGATTGGTATTTCTTCCTGATCATATTACGGAGAATGTTTCTAGAAATCCCATTTGGCTAGGATCCATAAGAAGGTCAGTTTCCTTCACCTACACACCCGTCCTTATACCTTCTTGAAGTAGAGTCTCAAATGGACATCTTTCAGTTGAGAAACAAAAAATGGACTGGTTGAATCTTTCTTTTTCAAAGATTTGCTTTATGCTACATAAATGATCATATTATTATTTTGTGCAAAAAGTCCTCAGAGTGGAACCCCCTATATCTGGAGATCAGGCAAGCATCGGCAGTGTATAGTTTTCAGAATCTCTGGAAAATATCTTTATTTCAGGATGCTTTATTTTTTGTTGATAATTCCAGTTTTTACATATCAGGAAAAAGGAAGCCATGCTTTCACTGAGAATCCCAATTTTTTCTTTTATCAGTTTTATCAGTCTTACTGTTCTTCTTTCCAGAATCTGTTTAGATGTGGATTCAATCCCATTTTTACTGCAGTGGCCAGCTAGATAGGCCAGGGGTCCTCCATGGTGACCAACCTGATCTTTCTTATGACCTCTCTTCTTGAGGCATATAACCTGACACATTACTGAGATATCTTACTTCTTATTCTTTGCAGGAGGGATTGCATGTCCTTCATGTGATTTTTTTTCTCTCCCAGTGTTTCCCTCTGTTCTTTTCAATATGTTCCTATACATTCCACTAGTCGGTTGCGAGGTGGTACTGGGGTGTAGAACAGAACTGCAAAGCTATTCTAGGCTCCTCTGGTGAATAATGGCAGCATACATTATGACCTGTAAAGCCCTTAACGGCTTGGGACCTGGTTATCTAAAGGAACATCTGCGTCCATATATGCCCTCCTGCCCCCTACGATCAGCAGCTGATGCCCTTCTCCGGGAACCCTCCATGAATGATATTAGGAGGGTGAGTACCCGGAGGAGGGCCTTATCTGTGGTGGCGCCCCACCTATGGAATGCGCTCCCCAGAGAGGTCCACCTGGCGCCGTCACTATTTGCTTTTAGGCGCCAGGCCAAGACCTTTTTATTTAAAAGTTATTTTAACTGTTAATTTATTATTATTGTATTTATAGATTTTAATATATATAGCCAAGATGGTACCAGTTTTTAAATTATTAATTGTATTTTTTATGAATGTTGTGAGCCGCCCCGAGGCTTTGTGGTGATGGGGACGGCATAGAAATGTTTTAAATAAATAAATAATAAATAAATAAATACAGGAACATGCTGTATTTTTCTCTCTCTTAAAAAGCTGCAAAAATGGCTGGAAAACACAAGTGAGGCCTTGGGAGGATGAGGGCTTTGTATAAAGGCCCTGTAAACTTTCGTGTGTGAGGGATCATGGGAACAGAGTGGAATTACAAAGGCCAAGGAATTTGCACCTCGAAAACTTCCTCACTGCTCCTATTTGAGAAGTCGCCACTGAAATTTAGCCTGAAAGATCGATGTTCTACAGACAAGCGTCAACAGAGTCCAAAACAGGCCTTTACCAAAACCAATATGCAAGCCCAGCCAGTTACCCCGTAAGATGAAGTCACATTACAGTACAGGACAGGACAGATAATTTTTGGTTGTTTGCAACACAGAGGTAGTCATGAGTAGAGTTCTGGAACTGGGCTTCCCCCGGCTCGTCAGATTTCTTCTCCTGCTTGGCCCTGGCTTAGGAAGTGAGTGGAGCCTAGATGCAAACTTTCACGGAGTTCCAGTCACACAACCAGCCACCTTCCTCCACGGCATGTGCTTACGGACAAAGGCCGCCAGTTGCAAGCTGCACAGGAGAGGGTTGCCGCTCGTGCCGTGTGCACGAGGCTTGGACTCCTGGGTGCCGTCAGGACAAAATGGGCAAAAGCCCTGCCATCGTATGGCTGCAAAAAGCCTGTAAGAACCGCTTTACACTTCAAGATGGTTTTTCCATGTACACCTTAGATACGCTAATGTGGCTGTCCTGAAGGTTCCTCTGTTGATGCATGTGTGAATCACATTCAGCCCAATGGTTCAACTCCCATGTGCCTTTAGCAAACTGCCTAAATGATCCCCCCGCCCTCTTCTCAAACTGTGTATGTAACTAATTTGTTATAAAAGCATCTTGTACAGACTCCATCTTGGTAGTCCCTTTGGGAGCTGCTTACATTCCACATGCATTTCCTGTATGTCGGAATAAACTGTAACTGTTCTTTTGATTGTACACCCCCAGCCTACTTACTCTCTTTGGGTTTTTTTTCTCATCAATCAATCTTAAATCAATATTTTACTCGTTAGCACTGGCACAAACACTTGGAACACTTGGTGCCAAGACAAACTCATGGCTGTAAGAAAGAGGGTCAGAGTGCAGGGTCAAAGCTGAGCAGAAGGAATCTGATAGATTCCCACCTACAAAGCTGATTCCGCACACATCCCTAGTCATAAGGAAATTCAGTTTGTTTTTTAACATTTTGAAGGCAGTGTTGCCAGAATCTCCCAGCAGCACCATCAGAGTAATTGCTCAGAGCATTTCTTGAGAGTCTCCTTAGTAGAAAATGAAAACTTGAGCATACTTGTATGTGTGTCTGAAAGAGAGAGAGAAAACTGCTTACCTCTTTCATGTCTTCGTAAAAGAGGTACAGAATGGGATGACGGTTCTTGGCTTCCCACCAACCACAAACATGATCTAACCACAAGCCATAGGGAACTGCAAAGAGACCCAAGAGATAGCAATGCTGTAAACTGCTTTGGAAGTATTATTTTTTACAGCAAGGGCCCACTCTTACTTGGTTGTCCATAATCTTCGGAAATCAGAAGGCGATGGGCATCCAGTCAAGCACAGGAGGAGAGCGGAACCATGGATTGCTTCCATGTTCCCTTACTACCTGAAACACTTTGATGGCTGATTTCCTCAGTCTGAAGGTTTGCCCCTTCTCAGAAATGGAGGTGCCATGCTCCTCCTCTCCCTGCCCCACAGAATCCCCCTTGCATGCCTTGTCTGAATAAGGTTCGCCACCTTTGGAGCTGCAGTGGAAAGAACAATGGCAGCTGAGAGGGTGGAGGAAAGGAGCCCCTCCTGCAATCCCAGAAGGCTTTTCTGGGGTTGCAGTACCCTGTTTCCCTGAAAATAAGACCTAACCGGAAAATAAGCCCTAGCATGATTTTTTGGGATGCTCTTAATATAAGCCTTACCCCAAAAATAAGCCCCAGTTAAGATCATCACCCAGACAGACACATTTAGTATGTCCGTTGCAACACAATTAAGGGTTTGGAGAGTTATGACGATGTTCCAGAGGAAGAAGACATGGCAACACAATTGCAACACAATTAAGGGTTTGGAGAGTTATGACGATGTTCCAGAGGAAGAAGACATGGCTGTATTTGAATAAATGAAGATTTTTTCATATGAATAAATGTAGATTGTTGTACGTGAAAAATAAGACATCACCTGAAAATAAGCGCTAATGCGTCTTTTGGAGCAAAAATTAATATAAGACCTGGTCTTATTTTTGGGGAAACATGGTAGCAGCTTCATCTTTTGCTACGGGCATAGGATTATGTCCTACAGGGTATACAAATGCTTTGACTGAGTAGTATAAGTTAAGGTACACTAACAGAGTGAAGTGTGCCATGCTGAACTGCCTCAACAATGAGCCCTGAGCGTAAGCTACAACTTCTAAAAGGCTGAAAAGAAACCCAGTGTTTGACTCTACGTGGTTCAGGAGGGCAAACTGGGTAAAAAGAGACCTGATTGAAAGTGGATTAACATGAATATATCCCTAATCATCTTCCTAATAGCAGGCAAGTCTTCTGACAAAACAGTCACTGTTCTTTTCCTTAGACTCCTGCCACCCCAAAGCTAACTCACCTTTGCCAGCAATAAAATTCTCCAGAAATTCTTCCCACTTTCCAGGGTCTGGAATAAGTTTATTCATGCGTTGGAAGTGGAAGTAGGAGACGGCGTTGTCCTTGGCGTTCCTGGCCACATAAATGATCTGTGGAAAATGAATACAACGACCAGCCAGGAGAGAAGCAGGTCAAACGTACCCAGCTGGGGGTGATAACAGCTGTCATCCAACACATCTCAAGGTCAAGTGGGTTGAAGAAGGCGTCCAAATCTTGGCCTCCTTGCATGCTACCCAGAAGCAATTCGATGAATATTATTGCCCGGTGGTGAGTGTTTCCTGGGATAGGATCAGCTTTGGGCAGGCTTTGCCCAGTGCATCTCTTGCCATCGCTCCCCTGCCTGCTCATCCATTGGGCCTACCTGCTTGCGCATCCGCTGGATACTCCCTCACTCACCTGGTCAGCGCACCTAGCCAGCCTTGCCTGCCTTGTGCCCCAACCAGAGACCTCACAAGAGCTTGGCCAAGATATCCCAAATATGTGGTATAAAGGGAGGGAACAAAGTGTCTCTGAGCATAAACAAAGTGCCTCTCCCTCTCTACTGGAACACTACCACACCTGCAGTACTTTGATAGCCGGGCTGGCTGAGTCAAAGTTGACTGAAATACTCCACCTTTGTAATAAAACGGAGAAAATGCTCAGAAGTCTTTCATTTACAGCCTCAGGTTCCAGGTACTTTGAAACTGCCCTTGGCACACATTAAATTCATCCCTCCCATCAACCTCACCCAAGTTATCCTAACCTTGCAATTGTGCTCCCAGAAGGAGGGTGGCAGGAGGTGGACCGAGAGGTGGGTTTTGAGCACGCGTGGGGAAACCATGGCCTCTGCCAGTTCAATGCCTAAAACATCAGAGGGCAACATTCAGCCACCTGTAGAAAAACCCTTCCCCATCCCTTCCTTCCCCCAGAGCAGGAGAGGCCCCTACTCACCTGAGCGGAACGGTTTTATGGGGAACAACTCTATGTATGGAATCCGTTCAAGGACGGAAGCCCGAGCACATTTCTGCACATCACCCCCATGCTGCAGCAGGTCCACAATTTCCTGCATCCAAGTGGTTCCTACCAGAAGAATGGGGGAAAAGGCACTCAGAATCCATAACTCATCCGTAATGCTTAATATCCCCACCATCCCGCTGTCTCCACTGCAGGGAGGCCAGTGCTTGGTATGTCTCTCCTCCACCCTACATTTACCTGCTTTGGGATAGGTGCAGATGACGAGGTCATCAGGCCGAGCCTGGAAGCCTTTGACCTGAGCCCAGTTCTCTGCAGTGTCACTGGGCAAAGGGAGCCCCTCGACCTCCACCAGAGCCATGTCTTGGGCAGGGGCTGTGCCTGACTCTTCTGGCCCAGATGAAGGCCCAACTCCTAGCAAGACAGCAAGGGGGGGGGGGGACATGTGAATGGGTGGTGCTTTCCCCTGACCTCCCCAGAGTAGCCAGCGCCCCAGCCCCGAGGATGCACGGATTAGATTTTGTGTCCACCTGCTGTCTTTCCTCCTGTTACGGACTGCTGCCTGCCTCCCTCCTCCTGCTTCTTCCTTTTGCTCTTTCTCTCTCTTCCAGAAAGAGGAAGAGGGCAGGGCAGATAGTGGAAGGGCTGTGCCTCTTTATGACAGAGCAGAGAAAGTGTGCATATGTTCTAGGCTGGAGTTTTTCGCACGCTACAGCTGGGCATCCTGCCAAGTCCTTTCTCTGAGTTGGCTTCCTGAATTATTTAAACCTTAGGGAGAGACAAGTGTGTGTGTGCATGCACGTGCGGGAGAGTTTTCTAGCTTGCCATCCTTCAATTCAGGCTTCCTGAACGTGGGCCCCTGAAGATTTGGGGACTACATCTCCCATCATTCTCAGGCAGCACGATTGGGGGTGATGGGAGCTGTAGTCCTCCAGTGCTTCTGCTATGGAGGATCCTTGTCAAGAACCAAAGTCTTTCTCTTGATCAAGTGTAGGCACACCTGCCAGCCCACAGAAGTATCTTTACGCCAAGCATTCGTGAGTGGTCCTCAGTTCGACTCCGATCCTTCCAAAGCCAGCAAGTCCTACATTCTCTTTGTCTATCCGGTCCAGAGTCTTCTTCAATGGAGCCAGTGTGGCACAGGGGATCTTATGATGTCCATGAGTCACTGGTGGTAGTTTAGGACACAGAAATGTGGTGGGTTCCCAGAAAGAGGCTACAGTCCCTTGGAGACATCAGATTTTCCTTGGTGCCCCAAGGAGCTTGGGAGTCCCAGAGCCCATGCTCCTAGTGAGGCTAAGGACAGTCTGTCTAGAAGAGCTGGCTAGTCATGCCCTGTGATATCAAATGACAAGGCCTCTTAAAGGGAGGCCTTCACATGGGCCTTTAACCAGTGAGCAAAGGGGGAGCATAAAAACGGGGAGAAGGTGATTTTGCTTCAGATTAGGCTGGGTGAATGAGACTTTAAGGAGCGATGCAAATCTCAGATGTAGAGGCCCGATCTGGATAAGGAGAGTGGGAAGGGAGAAGGCTCAAATTCCCCACACCCATCTGCCAGGGTCACCATCCAAAGCAGGGGCCCTGTATTTGCAGTTTGTGAAAAACAGTCCTGAACTCAAGGCCAAAGTTACACAATTAACATCGTATGTCATTTCGGCCTTAATCATAGCCACTGAAAAGAAAGTGGCCTTGTTTTCTTTAGGGCAATTTGCAAAGATCTGATAGTATCCAACCATATTTGGCAGGTACATCTGGCAAATCTGTGTATCTTAAAAATGGCATTAGTTTTTCCCATTCTAGTTCTAATGACATTTATTTTCAGTGATAAAGATAAAAGGGGCAGATCCAATATATGTCTCACTGAAACCATACTTATTGGAAGAATGGTATGCTTCGTATGAATGTTAAAAAAACTTCAAGAAATTACCATTTTTATTTCCTTACCACCAAACTAAGAATCCTGGTGAGCAAATCCATTCATTTCATTTCACAGACATTCATTTGCAATGAAATGAGCTAGAGCAGCCTTCCCCAACTTTGCTTTCCAGACATGTTTAGACTGCAACACCCAAAATTCCCAGACCATCACCCTGCTGGGTGGGAATTCTGGCAGCTGTGGCCCAAATGCCTCTGAAGGCCACGAGGTTGGGGAAGGTTGATCTACGGCAGTGGTGGCGAACCTATGGCACGTGTGCCACAGCGGGCACGCAGAGCCCTCTCTCTCAGCACGCGAGCCAAAGCGCCCCAGCATCGCCCCAGCAGCCGAGCATCGGATGACAGTGCACAGAGGGGCCATGCGCATGCTTGAAAATGGAGCAGTGGTGCCAGGCGATAATGTCACAAGGTTATATATATTTGCTAGGAAAGGCTGTGAGGTGTTTTTTCTGAACTAAAACCTCAGTTTTCAGGTTTTATTGCAGTGTTGGCACTGCAAATCAAGGAAGGCTCTTTCAAAATTGCCCTCTTTTCAATGGAATTTTAGCCCAATATTAGGGTTAGGGGTATGCACCAGGGTAGGGTTAGGGTTAGAAAAACGAGGTGTCCTGGCATGATTTTGATGGTTGGAATGTGTTTAGAGTGGGCAGAAATATTAAGCTGTGCAGAAAAAGCTACTCAAGGAAGGCTTTTTCAACACCGCCCCTTTTTCAATGGTAATTTTAGCCCTATGTTAGGATTAGGGTTGTGCACCAGGGTAGGGTTAGGGTTAGAAAAACGAGGTGCCCTGGCATGACTTTGATGGTTGGAATGTGTTTAGAATGGGCAGAAATGATGAGCTGTGCAGAAAAAGCTACTCAAGGAAGGCTTTTTCAAAATCACATTATTTTCAATGGCATTTTACCCATATATTAGGGTTAGGGGTGTGCACCAGAGTAGGGTTAGGGTTAGAAAAATGAGGTGTCCTGGCATGATTTTGATGGTTGGAATGTGTTTAGAGTGGGCAGAAATGTTGAGTTGTGCAGAAAAAACTACTCAAGGAAGGCTTTTTCAACACCGCCCCTTTTTCAATGGTATTTTAGCCCTAAATTAGGGTTAGGGGTGTGCACCAGGGTAGGCTTAGGGTTAGAAAAACGAGGTGTCCTGACATGATTCTGATGGTTGGAATGTGTTTAGAGTGGGCAGAAATGTTGAGCCGTGCAGAAAAAACTACTCAAGGAAGGCTTTTTCAGAATCGCCCTCTTTTCAATGGAACGTTAGTCCTATATTAGGATTAGGGGTGTGCACCAGTAGGGCTAGGCCAGTGGTGGTGAAGCTATGGCACGCGTGTCGCAGCAGGCACACAGAGCCCTCTCTGTTTGCATGGGACCCAAGTCAAGCCAGCTTCACCCCAGCAGCCAAGCATCGGATAACAGCGCATACAGGGGCCATGCGCATGCTCACAAAGGAGTAGCGGCGCCAGGCAATGAGATCACGGGCCACGTCTCATTATCCACAAGTCATCTGAGCTTTAGCATGGCTGGTCAGTGCACTGCCAAGGTTATACATATATTTGTTCGTACTGTTTTTTCTAAGCTAAAACCTCAGTTTTCAGGTTTTCTTGTAGTGTTGGCACTTTGCGATAAATAAGTAGGTTTTGGCTTGCAGTTTGGGCACTTGGTCTCTAAAAGGTTCACCATCACGATCCACGGGATGATACAGATCAAAGAGGCCCTAAGTGCAACATTTGGTTCTGCTGGCCCTCGTTTGTGGTCTGATTTCTTTTGCAGGCAACACGGAAGCATGTTCAGTGAAAGCCTCAATGCAAACTGTGGATGATCAACAGTGGTAGAAGTGAAAGGACTGGGGATCCAAGCTCCCCATTCCATCCTTCTCATTTCCTCTACAAGCAATTACTCTTCCTAGGTCTTGAGCTGGCCTCCCGAAGGGCTGCATCTGCATTATCCCTGTAGCTTGGCAGAAGCCTTGTAGTTCAGGGTAGAGCTCATCCTGTGCTTCCACGTCAGAAGGCTGTGGGCTCAGTCCCCAGCACCTCCAGGTGGAGCTGGCAAACCCTCTTCTCCCAAACCCTGGAGACCTGCAGCCAGTAACCGGGCGAGTTTGCACAGCCTGCTGGCAACAACACACGGTGGGCTGAGTCACGCCCTACCTGCAGGAGGATTGTTCGGATGGAGAGAGCCAGCATGGCAGGTCCCAACCACAGTCAGATGCAGGGCCTGTGGCTACAGCCAGGGCCCCTGTTCCTCCGGGGCCTGAGCTGCAGTGGGAAGGATTTCACCCCGTAGGGAGGAGGAGGAGGAGTCCACCAACCCAGCAATAGTTCCAGCAGCAGGCTCAGCATGGAGCCTCCCCTGAAACGACTGGCTAACCTAAGTAGCCAGCTGCCTTCATTTACAGTTGGCTACAAATTTGCTTTTGGTGGCAAACAACAGGAATCGTTGTTAAAGTTAATTGGATACCTAAACTCTAGATGCACAAACTCAATTGCAAGGTCAGGATCACTTGACCTTCAGATTGAATTGAGGAATCCTTTGGAAGGCAACGCTATTTGGGGGCACAGAGCAGGGCAGGTGGTTGACCAGGCTCCCTGTAAATGCTTGCCCCTCCCTCCTCCTCCTCCTCCTATGGCCATTCTGGGGACCACTGTGGGAGGAATGGATTGTTCCCTCCCCCGACACGTTCCCTGCTGCAATCATGAGTATTTTGGGCTCAACACATGTTTTCCCTCTTTAAACATTTTTCCCCTGGAGATCAGGAAAGTGAGTGTCTCTGTCTGCCGCCCTCTTCCCTCCTTCAGCCACTCTTTTCTCTCCCTCTTCCCTTCCTTCCCACATGACAGGCTACCAAAGAAAGGGCAAAAGACACTTACCCGAGATTGCATGCTGAGGGCTGCATGAAGTTAGTCCATGAGCCAAAATTAGGGATACAGGTTTTCGTGTCCCTGCCTTAAATTGCATTTGCTGGCCAAGAACCCAGGTGCCCTGGTGGTCTGTTGTGAGACACCCTAGCCTCTGCCCCTAATGACAAAGGCAGAACTTGTGCTTGATGTCCTCCAGAGGAGCAAATCAGAGCAACATTCCATCCACCGTGAGCCTCTTTAGCACAAGGATGCAGAAAAAGCCAACACAGAGAAGCCAGCTCTCCCCTTGCATGTAGCTTCAAGGCTTATTTTATTAAAATCCATGCCCATTTTGGTAAATGTGTTCTTGGTGAGAAGCACAGAGTCATGCTTCTAACTGAGTGCGGAAGGTCAAGCCGCTGCCCTGCAGTTTCTGCATGCAGAGGTCATCCAGCCGTTCACTTTGAGCCACTGTCAAGTGTTCTTTCCAGTCTCCCACAGCACCTGCAGACAAAGAAAACAAGCTGGATTCTGTGCACCTTTCCTGCTATCTTAGTCTAGAAGGTATCAGGCTTTGTATGCACACATTGGTTCATCTGTCGCTTCCCCCAGTGCCCGTCATAGAAACCCAGTTCCACTGCAAAGGATAGCAGGAAAGGTTCTAGGGCAAAAACTCAGTATAGACCCATGAGGCATAATTCCAGTTTATTGGGCTGCAGTGCTGTCCTCTTTCAACTGACCCCTTGGAGTCCACATTCAATGCTCTCCTCCGGGCTGCAGCCACATGTTGCGAAAGAAGCTTGGCTGGCTTTTCTGTTAGCTTTCACAGCACCAGAGGCCACATTAAGGGGCACGCGGCACGGCTGGAGCAGTGAATCTTCCATTCAGAGCCCAGATCTCTGGGAAGCCATCTACTCCACCACCCTGACTTTGGTGGGCACTTACTGGCGTCCTTGCTGGTTTCTTTCCCTGTCTGTACTTCACCTCCTGCAGGCCACCAGAGCCTTTTTCCTGAAATGAAATGCCCCCCTGCCCACACATTTCCCCCAAATATGGGTGTCCTTAGGAGACACAGCCCTTTAAAGATACACACAAAGAGACTTTAGAGCATGTGCAAATTGGGGAATGAAAATTTGGGCTGCTGTTCCTCACCCGCTTCCTTTGGGTATCAGTCTGGGACCTTTCCAGCAGCTAGCACTGCTCCTGCTCGGCACTGGCTTTCTGGATAGTGCCCCACTATCCAAGGCCGGTATGTGTGCCCCACTCCCTCTGCATGGCTGCCACTGTGGCATTTGCCATGGTGGGAAATTGAGCTGGTTAGGCAGCAACTGATTTTGGGGGGGCGAGGGATGAGCTATTCACTGTCCAAGGGGAGGATCATCTCTGATTGACAGGTGGGACAGTCCTCATCTAGCGCTATAGACCGGCAGACCATTTGCCCAGAGCAGGTGTTAAGCTAACCAGCCTGCAATTCCCTGACTCCCCCTTGAATCCCTTCTTAAAAATTGGTGTTGCACTGGCCGTTCTCCAGTCTTCCAGTACAGAAGCTGATCTGATCCAACATGGCTTTTCTTACGTTTTTATGCTCTTATGTTCAGATGAGACTTTTATTGTGCAATTGCTCTTCCTCAATCCTGAAATTTTATAGGTGACCCAGATGTCATCGCCTTCTATTTGTCTAGAAAGGCTGTGGGCTCTCCCACACTAGAGACAGTCAGAAAGAGGCTCGACAGTCATCTAAGTGGGACGGAGTAAATTGGTGACCTGCAACAACAGGGGGTCGGACCTGATAGCCTTCATGGCTCCTTCCAACTCCACTATCCTATAATTTCCCTCTGCTTCTTCCATGTGTTCTTAATCAGAAAAAGGGGGAAAGATGAAAGACTTTTGGCCAGTTACACTAGGGGCCCTCCATCTGGACATACCCTGATACAGAGATTAACATTAGTGTCTGGTGTTATCTGCTGACAGATTTACTGTTCAAAGTAGACAAATCTGGGCTACAAAAATAGCTTGCAATTCTGCAGCGGGTCCCCACCTGCAAGGATATTCTAGACACCTGAAAGCTGAAAGCAAAACTCCTGGCTTTCTCCTTGCCTCCCCTGAAACAGTCCAAGAATCCTCACTGGCACCTAATGGAGTTTGCTTGCATAGTTGGTCTTTGCTCTGTATTTCAGGCTTCCCCAACCTGATACCCCCCAGATGTGATGGACTGTATCACCCATCATTCCCAGCTACTAGGATGGAAGTTCCTACCCATCATTTTGGGGAATGATGCTAGAATCCCCAGTACACATTCATACTGATTTAGGGAGCTCATAAAACTCATTTCTGCCTCTCTTTTATTGGCAACTTATATGTACACACATACATATATATAGCCTATATTTTTTCAAATATATATTTTATTTGAAAAACTGCAAATTTTGATGGGTGATTGAATTTCAATTCTCATAGTGATTCAAAAGTGCCAAATCATTTAAATTCACATCAAAAATGTGAATGGAATGTATTCTTCCCCTATCTCTGGCCACAAGAGCCTTTTTCTATCAGATGTTGTCTGGAACTCAGCCTTTTCTCTGGCACTCACCTTTTCTCATAAAGGGAGACACAGCTTGGTCCATGATGAAAGCAGGAAGCGTGCTGTAATTAGCCATTGAGTTGGTTTTCATGTTCTCAAACAATGTATGTTGCACAGTCTGGTTCAGAACTGTGTCCGCAAGTTGTATGCCCAGAAATTGGGCTACTTTGCTAATTTCCCTGGCGGGGTCCTAGGGAGAAAGAAATGTGCTTGTGTAGTTCTTGTTTGATTTGCACTCTGATGTCAGAAGGTATTTTCTGCACTTGATTTTTCAGTTGCTCCAGGTGAGCACAGGGCAAGAACAAAAGGGTGAAAATGTCAAGAAAGTAGATTTTGACTAAACAGAAGAACTTCCTAAGAGCAAGAGCTTTTTGATGGTGGAACAGACTCCTTTGAGAGGCAAGGATCTCTCTTGCTGGAAAGATTTAAGGAGAGTCTAGATGGTCACCTGTCAGAGATTATGTAGCTACAGAATTCTTGCCTTGAGTTCCGATGACCCCCAGGGTCCTCCCCAACTTGCAAATGCTGTGATTATGCTTGGAACAGTTTAGCATCAGAGGTGAAAGTGCTATTTTGAGAAGTGCCAAACAGAAATTTCTCCAGCCTTGGCCATGCCTTAATGGGTTTGGAAGGCAGCTAAGAAGTGGAGTAAAAGATATTAAGGGCACAATCTTATGTATGTTTAGACAGAAATAAAGTCCGAAAATTCTTAGGATTCCCCAGCCAGCATGAAGCTATACAACTTTTTTTTTTTTTGGTCTAAACATGTGTCAGATTGTCTCCTAAGTAATTTATTACCCTTTTTTATTCCTTTATGCATCCTACAGAAATTGCTGGTTGATGAGGAGAGGAGATTACTTTAATCTCCTTCACTGAGCAGTCCTGGGCAAGACCTAAGTTTCTGTTACTACTAGCAGAAGGAAATCAATGTTCTTGATCACTGAACAGGAGCAGCTGAAGCCCCTTTACTTCAGCAATCCTGATTATATATGCTTGCAGGAATGTGCCATCGCATTAGTAGTAGTTCATTATGCATTATTATTAGCACCTGTATAAGTAATCAGTATTCTCCTATGTTGTGATTATAAGGTAATAAAGAATGCTAGATGCAGGTGTGATGCTTTGAATCGTGTACCCTTTATAAGTTTGCCATTTTGTTTGTGTTCCTGTTTGGACTTTTTGAGGGAGCCTCTGCTGCCTGTCCATTCCAGCTGACTGGGGGTTCCCTTCAGGCTGCGCAAGGTAAGTGTTTAGTTGATGCAACCTTTGAAACCCAGCTGGTGTTTGGTGTGTTGCAGAATAATAAACCCTGTTTTGATCATTGCAGGATGCTGAGCTGTTTGGTCAAGTCTGTTGTGTTGTTGTGAAGCACAAGCCTTTTTTGAGGGTTACCCGTATATTAAATTGGATCAGTGTTTAGTTAATGGGGCTGCTGGGTGGTTTCGCTGCACAATACCCAGCCTTTAGTTGGCAGGCAGAATATCTCTTCCTGGGAAGTAAAAAAACTGCCTCACGCATAGCAGGGCTCAGGGTGATACAGCAGGGAAAGAAGCACGGCCTTCTGGGGAACCCCAAACTGTGAGATTTGGCCTGTGGACCAGGGGCTTTCCACATGTGATATGTAACTTAATCTCATTTTGTTTTCCCACTAGAATCCCCTTACAACTCAGAATGCAACCCATTTGATCCCTGGGGCCCCAAACCAGTGCAATATTCCCCTATGTTTGCACCCTGCTTAGTAGGGGGTGTGTGAATGCCTTACTTCTTTCATATCTTCATAGAAGAGGTAGAGGATGGGGTGACGGTCCTTTGCCTCCCACCAACCACGAACGTGGTCAAACCAAGAGCCCCAGGCGACTGCAAAGAGATGTAAGAACAGGAGGATGAAGAATGGGGTAGGATTAGCATCAGCTCTTCCTCTGTCCTGCTCATAATCTAGAGCAGCCTCTCCCATCCCTTGGCTGTGCTGAATGGGAATGATGGTAGCTGCGGTCTAATCCATCCCAGTGGCAAATCTAGGGGCAGTTTTTAAGGGTGGAAGGAAGGTAGTTGCTCCCTTCACAAGACTCTGCTTAATTGCTAGCCCTTGTGAGCAGCCTCAGACTTCCTCTCCTCCTTCAGCCAAGCAGGCAGTTGAGCTCAGCAGTCCTAGCCCTCCTTGTTTCTCCTAGAACAAGCTGGTAACCGGATGCCCTGACTCTTTTCTCCTGTTTCAGCCCCCTCCCACCAACAACCTTTAGGAGGTCAGTGGAATTAGAGATTATCATGGGCACTCTCACAAAATGGCTGCCATGGTGGTCCACCCATTTCCCGGAATGCAAGCCCTTGAGGCTAAAAGAAAGGAACTTGCCCAGGAACCTATGTACAAACAGAGCTAGGGTCTGAACTCCAAAGCACAAAATCTCCCATTTGAACTTGGTTTGCTGCTCTCTACTGCCTTGTGGGTTACCCTTTTCTTTTTCCTAGCCAGCTGGGAAACCTTCAAAATAAAGTTCTGGACTACACGGGCATACCTGATTTTCTAAGAATGCTCCTGGGGCCTACACAGGGCCTAGATGGCCTGGAAATAAAACTGGTGTACGGTTTTGTTGCACAGAATGCCAACTTCTCATTTAGAAAGAAGAATTTGAAACTATGACAGAGGTTTAGAAATGGGAGGGACAGGAAGTCTGGCAAATGTGGATGAAGATGCCTGCAGGGACCATGTTGGGAATCCGGTCTTATCTCATATCTTTCCACTTCCTTTGCCCTCTATTCACCTTTTCCTGCAAGGAAATTCTCAAAAAACTGGTCCCAGGTTCCAGGCTCCGGCAACCCTTGGTTCATGCGGTGGAAGTGGAAATAAGAGACGGCGTTGTCTTTGGCATTCCTGGCCACATAAATGATCTGGGAAAAGAACAGAGCAGGTGGGACTCCTCACACCAAACCTTTCACTCTGTGCTTCACTCTGCATCCTGGACCCTCCTTCATGCTCCAGGAAATTTATTTCCTTCAAAGAAAAGCTGTGGGCATCCACAGCCTCTCTGATTAAGCCCCATCATCTGACCGGGCCAGCAAAAGAACTCACTTTTGACGTGCACAGGGTTGCTCTTTGCACCTGTTCTTTCAGATGTTGTTCCCAGCTTGAGACAGGTCCTCAAAAGGGGTCCTGAAATGAAACCTTGGCTCCAGTTCAGCCCCACCCTCCCATCATTCTGACTCTCGGTTGCCCTCACCTTGCAATTCTGCTCCCAAAAGGAAGGTGGCAGGAGCTGGACAGGCAGGTGGGTTTTGATTGTCCGCGGGGAGGGCATTGTTTCCGCCATTTCCACTCCTGTAACACCATGGGGGAGGGATTCAGTCGCCCGCTGAGAAACCCTTTCTCACTCCCTCACCCCCCCCACGTCCCCAAAGTATTAGCCGTTCCTCACCCGAGGTCAGGGATTTTGGAGGAAACAAGTCTATGAAGGGAATCCGGTCGTAAATGGGGGCCCGTGCACATTTCTGTGAGTTTCCTCCATGCTGGATCATGTCCACAATTTCTTGGATCCAGGTAGTCCCTGGCAGGATATGATTGAAGAAAACAGATGGATATCCAACAACTCAATCCGTAGCCCTTCATCTCCCAGATGCCCTAATTCTTATCTGCCCGCATGCCTCCCCTCTTTTTCCTTCCCCAAATACCTGCTTTGGGATAAGTGGAAATGAGAAGGTCATCAGGCCGGGCTTTAAAACCCCACAGAGAATTCCAGTTCTTGGCAACATCACCCGTTAAAGGGATTCCTTCAACTTCCGCCAGTGCCATGCGCTTGATTGATGCAAAGTCCTTCTCGAACAACTCAAGTTCATTATCCATCACTTGGTAAAACAGCAAAAGGGTTAATCCAAGACAAGCCTGACCAGCAACATAGTGGTGTTTTATGGAGCACTTCTGTTCAGAGTTCTAGCCAGCCAGATGTGCCCTTTTCCAGGACACTCCATTCCGTTCCCCCTCCCCTCATCCAATTTTATGTGCCTGCTAAGTATGCTGTGGTCCATTGAGCTGATTTGGGGTTTTCCCTCTCCTTAGAGATGGTCTCCATTTTTTTTTAAGTACTTCTACTAATCCTGAGGTTCCTTCAGGCCTGTCCATAATTCCCTCTTGAGCACAGATGTTGTCATTTTAGCTGCAGAAGGATTGCTATGTGAATAAATTACCTTAGAAATCAGGGCCCCTGCACCCTGCCCTCTGGTACCATCTTCTGGGACATGGATAAGGTGTGATTCTCACCTGTCAGTTCCTCGTACTGCAAATGCACCTTTCTTTCCTCTGTGTCTGTCCTTGCCTCTGTCTGGCCTTCTTTCTTTCTGAAGTTTCCTCATGGCCCAAGAGCGTCATGTGCCTGTTTTTCTGAAAAAATGTGGGTGTGTGCATGGATGGGTGGGTGGGCTCTCTTGCTTGCACGCTAGGGCTGGGCATTTTGCCAGGCCCTTTCTCAAGTTTCCTGCCTGGGTTTCCTTCCTGAGGATATGTGTGTGCGTGTGTGCGTGTGTGTGTGTGTTTTAAATGGTATAATGTGACAGCAGCAGGCAGAACTTCGGGCACTTTGGAAGTCAGCTCTGAGAATTCCTGATCGTGGGCCATACTGGCAGGGGTTTTGGGGGGTTGAAGTGCAAAACATCTGGAGATTTCCCTTCTTTAAAGCATGGCTCTTTGTAGGTGAGCTGGGTGTCATAATCTGACTTTTACTCTACTTTAAATGATGGTGGCTTAAGGTGAAAGTTCTTTGCTAGTTGAAATCAAGGCAGAGAGAACCACTATGTTCCTTATGTTACTGAAACATAAATATCAGAGAATCAACACAGTTCACTAGCTGGGAATTGGCACTGCTAAAGTTAAATATATTTAGACTCTGGATTAAATAGTCTTACCAAGGCAAGAGTGACTGTTTTGATAGTAATATGCATTAGGTAACCCAGCTGCTTATTTTGCTAGGTGGGGGGCTGGCTCTCTGTCCCAAGGTCCTACCCTTATGGTGCCACTAGGAATCCATCCCACGTCCACCACCACAGACTGAACTTACAGTTTTGCAGATGTTAGGAAGCTCCAGTTGAGTTGCCTCAAGTGCCGTGTGGAATACCTGAAATATTCCCAGGTTGTTGCGTGTGGCTCCCCCTTGTGGCTGCCAGAATGGGCAATGGCAGCTGGCCAGACAGACGGCTCTATTTGTGTTGGAATTTTCTGCCGCAGCTTTGTAGCTGATGTGGGACCCCCGCCACACGTTCCTGGTGATTCCTGTGCTAAGTATATCACACACATGAAGCCTTCCCATTGGAAGTGCTTAGGGCAGGCTCTTGCTAATGTGAGAGTTAAAATGTTGTGTAATGAATAATACTGGCCTTGAACCACAGAACACACAGTTCAAAACCTTGTTTTGCTACAAAGTTCGCCCGAATATTCACATAAATTTTTTGCTTTTTAGCAGTGTCTGTCAGGGAGCTTGCTGTTTGTGGCGTGTCAAGAAGAGAGAGGCCACTTCGGTGGTGCAGTGCATTCTCCTTTCCTACCAAGGAACAGAGAGCTGGCCTTACCTTGCAATGCCCTGCTGTTCAGCAAAGGGTTAACTCGTATTCTGGTAGAAAGGAAACGACCAGAGGATTTTGCTGTCTTAGCTTGGTAGGCTGGGCTGGTTGCTCCAGTTCCTCCACACCAGATGGATAGTTCAGTTGCAATGTCTGTTCCCAGCTGGGAAAGAGGTGGAATGAGCATCCTGGGAGTTGAAGAGGAGTGTTTCCAGAAGAACGTGGGCAAAAGCACTCTCTGTAGTTCCTTCTGGGCTATTCCTCCCTTTGGAAGGAGCAAATCTGATAGTCCTGCTTCCAAAGGAATCTGGCAGAGTTTGAGATCTGTGCCGGAAGCCAGCTTGGGCAGGACTGGAGGCGACTGCAACCCAGCTCTTTTTGAGAGCAGTTCTGAGTCTCCCCCACCCAGTCTTAACTGTGTTTCCAGAAAGGGGGATCCCTGGAAGGAATGAAACATGGAAGTTCATAATATACCTCGGTGTGCAGCGAGGAGGTGTGCTTGTGTCTAAAAGGCCTCTCACAAAAGGACGGGGTTACAGTTAAGAAGGGGCCTGGAAGTAAATTCTAGATTGGGTTCAAGCAACTGAGAGCTAGGTTTCCTCTCTTCGCTCATTCAAAGCCTCAGACCTTCCTTGGAAAACAATCTTCACTGGCCAAAACATTTTCCAGAAACACAAACAGCCAGAACAAATCTTTGACATACACAGAGAGGTTCGTTGAACTCAAACTTTTGACAGAGGATTTTTGTGTGCGCCTATCATTTTCCTTGGTGGGTTCTTTCTTGATCTAATCACCCCACCTGTATGTTTCAGCACCTTGGGCATATTCTCATGAAGCTGAAAATACGGCGAGGAAGGCCCATGGCATATGTTGAGCTAATCTCTGGTCTAGCCAGCTGAATGTCCGTCTGTCCATATGGCTTCGGATAATGTCCGTTTGCCATGCTGTGCCCGATACCAAAGACAGCGGTAACTAAGACATGTAGGACCTCCTGAGGAACAAGTGATTTGGACCACAAATGGAGCCATGAGGCTATTGTGATGGTATACAAAAGTGTTAAATAAATGGAAGGACACGTATTGCTCCTGGGGAATGCCAGGCCTCATATGAGTGTCTTGGATTAATCTTGCCATTGGGATCAGACACGACTGTCCCAATATATTTTGTTGCCTCAATCAAAGGACAAGATGCCAAGCCGCCCCCAATTCTTTGTACAGAATCAAACTGGACTGGTGGTTGAATTTTACTTCAGCCTTGATAACAGGGTGCTGTCCTTTGCCAGGGAATAATGGATTAGCAGCTGCGGGAATGTACACTCAAATCCACAGGGAGATACCATTGCCTCGAACCTCAGCAGCTTTATTGGTGAGAACAACCTGGATATACCCCTCTGTAGAGTACAAACCTACAACAGCGCTGCCAGGTAGAGTACACCCACCAACTACAAGTTTCTAGAACATATGCAGAGTGTTTTATAGGTTTCTAGTCACTTACGCAGGAGCAGAGTTGATGACAAGTTAATAATGGGTACATAATATAGTCAAGGTCGAAACAATGTGAGAAATATGCAGATGGGAGATAACACAATAGTACAGCAAATATTGATGATTACAGGATATTGACATGACAATCAGAAAGGCACAGTTCTTGGGTGTGAGCTTGAATATGTAAATGAGAGTGATTGCAATACTGCTAGAGAAATGGATCAGGTAGTTTGTTGCTGCTAGCAGAAGAATGATTATATTATAATTTTTCTTGGGAGTCAGATTCTGCAGAGGATTAACTTTTGCAACTAAATGTAGCAGCCACCTCAGGTGAGTGGGGAGTCTCAGTTTCTTAAAGATGACTAATCATGCTTCAGGGAAAAGGAGTTTGGCTTGGAATTCTGGTTCTTTCTGGGCAAGAGGTGCAGGGATACTGCTGGTTTGATTTTGTATCACAAAGGCACGTATAAGCAACCTATCTCTAGAAAGATTTATTTGGATTTCCCCAACACCTTCACCCTGACTAAGGCAGCAGGGTAGAGTGTTTGAGACACCTCAGTCCTCCTACAGAGCAGGGGTGCCGGGTGACCCACAAGGAAAGCCCAGGGGACACTCTTGGCTTCTCCCAGCAGCTGTGTCACTGCTTACTTTGGGGGCTCCTCTGGTATCAGAGTGGCTGGAAATGGGAAAGAACCAGAGAAGGCAATCCTGGAGCTGACCGGAAGCAATTCTCCATTTTCCTTCCGCCCTGCCCCACTTCTCTCTGTGGGGACACCAATAATCAGCACGAAAGGTGTGCACTCCACACCTCATAGGGATTCACCCCACAGGTCCAGGGATTTATAAAATTAATCCCACAGATGTTGCAATCTGATCGCTGTATGGGATTAGCAGTCCTTTTTACCTTAGGAGGCAATGCCAACACTCTTCTGGATGCACAGGATATGCTGAAGCAAAGAGCTTCCCACAGCAAGGCAGAAGGAGGGGGCTGATTCGTTTATGACTGTCAATTGCGGCTCAATATTGCAGCCACTGGTTCTTGGGGGCCACTGCCCTAGGTGGGGCCATGGACCTGACAGAATTTAAGGCAGATGCTGCAGGGGCCAGCTGTGAACCCAGAGGGAAGGGATCCCCATTCTGCCCTTCACTGAGGTGCCTGGAATCAGACCGCCTCTGGAGAAGAGCGGGTGCTCAGAGCTCTGTGACTGACTCCAGGGAGAGAGGACGGCCCCAGGCTGATGAGGGTGTTCATCCTCATCCTTTCCATCTCCAAGATCAGTAAGGGACCCTCACCCCTCACTTTCCCCTGAACACTGCAGATGACCTTCATGCTTTGAGCAGGGAGCTTAGGCCAGCCTTTCCCACAGTTTTGCCCTTCAAATGTCAGTCTTCCTTCCACATCTGCCCCAGCCAGCATGACCCAAAATGCTCAAGAGTGCCGAGAACTGTTGTCAAGACATCCACAGGGCTCCAAACTGGGAGAGGCTGAGTTAGAACATTCTAGAATCTGGATTTAATGTTCTTATGTGGGGCCCTCTCTGCAGGGGGTGATTTTCATTTCTTCGCTTGCTTCAAAGTGCAGAAAACCCATCCTGTGGTCTTGAGGAGTCCTTCCTGTTCATTCTACTGATCCAGGGCCCAGGACCTCAGCCCAATGGCATTGCTGAGGCCTCCTTCTCCTGAGGGATGAGAGAAGGCCAATGTACTAGAAAAAGCTTTTGCTACCAGGGCGAGGCAGGGATGGGGAATGATGCTTGCATTGTTTCCATGCCACGCTCAGATTCACGTGTGACTCAGCTGTTTATGTATTGAAAACATTTTTACCCTGCTCCCCAGCCAAATAAGCTTCTGGAAAGCAAGACAGGTCCTACCTACAAGTTTACAATCTAAGAAGAAACAACACACAAAGAAAGAAGGATGGGGAGGGAAGAGGAAAACAGAGTGATCCTTCAGCAGGTCTGGAGGAGTACCCCATCTCCCTCAGTGCTGCCTGCTCAGCTGTCCTCAGCTTGCAGGCTGTGCATTGAGTTCCCTTTTCTGAGCCACCAGCTGAAGAAGGGACAGGAAAAAATGGCAGGGGCAGCTGGGGAAGAGAAAGAACTTCTGTCTGAAGGCAAGGAGCTTCTCTCCTTCCTTCCTTGTGTGAATGAGCTATGGTTGAACTGCAGGGCCAAAATCCTTGGCCCGGCAGCGAAGGCAGCCTCCAAATGAGTGGCAGGTTTGGCAGCAAAACTCTGGTTTCTCTTGACAGCTGTCAAATATATCCGTGAAGTGACACCAGATGGCAGCGGGTGCTTGAGAACCTTAGCTTTGCTGTGACACCCTGAATCAGCCTTCCTCAGCCCTGTGCCCAGCGGCTGTTCCTGGCCGTGCTGGCTGCAGGCGGTGGTTGCTGCGGTCCATCGTAGGGGCACAAGCCCTCTCTGAAATCGTGTTCTTTTGGAGAGACTCCAGGTGTCCTGCAACGTATGGCTGCAATATACTTTGATCTTGGCCTTGTGCTGTTCGAGTGAGTGATGTCCCTGCATATGCCCTCTGTACCGTGCCCTATAGCAGTTCAGGCCAGAACAAGGAATCCTACAACACCGCTCCTTCCTCTGGAATTCTGTCTAGTTATTTCATTATTTTTTAAAAAAGGGGAGTGGTGAGAAGAAATCAATAAATCAAGGCTCGCTTCCCAAAGGGGAGGCAAAAAATCATAGGATAATTCACAGTGAGGCGGTGTTAGTGGGGTTAATCACTTATCTGCAGAGACCGATGCAAAGCAATAATGTGATGAAAACCTCCCAGCAATAAACGTTGCACAGGGAACTCTAAGTAGGCACTACAGAAGGATCTTAGCCACAGGGAAGGCCATGTGACTCAGCTAAGCACACCATAGTGTCCATGCACAAAAGGGACAGACACAGAAGAAAAATATAAAGAATAAGGAAGTTTTGTAGGGTGGGGGGAGAGAAGGTGCTGGCAATCGAAGGGCAGTTGCCATACCCCTACACATACAATAGGTAAATTTTATTCCTCTTTGTAATAGGAAAAATAAGAGAAAATTTCCCAGCTTTTTTATGATACCTCCCAGAAGACCCACAAGTGTAATTGCTGTTAATATGCAGTTTAGGAATTGTGCTTTTGTATGCTATGTCTGCATTAGTTTTACAGTTAAAAGAGTTTATTGTGACAGCTGTGTGCTCCGGACCTGGAAAACAAGAGTGCCTCCCAAAAGTTAGTGAAGAATATAAAATAAAAGAAGAAAAGGGGGAAAAGGATGAGGATTAAAGAGAGAACAGATGTGAGAGAGGATAATGGCAACGCAGAGACAAGGATGATGACGGAATGTTACAGCATTCTAATTTCCACATCCTCTTATGCAATGTTCTGCTGAAAATACCTAAGCCATATTATCAAATTTGCAGTTGTTCTGATCACTTGCTTGAAGAACAATTGCCGAAAATGTAATTCGAGGAGATTAGAGGTGAGCCAAGGAAAGACTCGCCAGGCTTCCAGGAGACTGAGCTCCACAGGTGACAAAAGGTGCCTAGGAAACCTGTCCCCCTAGTAAGGACAACCTGTTGTGCCAGAATTGGTTTGTGTCAACCTGCTGGTGTTTGCAGAAGCACCCAGATATTTACCTTTAATTTGTCAGTGCGAAAACCTTCAGTACATCTTCACAGAGGCCATCCAGGTTGAATTAATAATGGAGAAAACTCTTGGGCAAACAAGTTCAAGTTTTATGCCAAGTCAATGCATGTTAATTTATAAACATGCTGCAGAAATATACTTGATTTATGACTGTGATCCTACATTGATGTCTTATATAAACAATGTCTCCTCATGACAGTTCACAGCGGCCTTTTCTAACTGTCAGATGTGTTGGGGATGGTGGCAACTGTAGTCCAACTTATGTGACCTGTTTAAGCTTGTAACCGTAGGGCACTAGGTTCAGAAAGTCTGGTTTACAGTATGTTGTCCAAGAAGAGAGACCTACGAGATACAGCATTTGGCTGCTCTCTGGATTTGAGAAAATTTGACCCCAATTTTTATCAATATTACTGGACATTAATTCAATTGGGTATCTTTATCCTGTCCAATAGTGTTGCGTGTCTCTAGATAGCTTACAAATCGAACACCCAATAAATACATATAAACTCATAAAAATCCATAATAATCCACGACTGAGCATAAAACATATTTAAAATATTTAAACATTGAAATTATGGGATAATAAAAAGGTCTTGACCTGGTGCCAAAAAGCATATAATGTCGGCGCCAGGCAGACCTCTCTGGGGAGCGCATTCCCTACCCAGGGCACCATCACAGAGAAGGCCCTCCTCCGAGTATATTCTCTCCTAAGCTCCTTCAAGGTGTGTTCCCGGAGCAGGGCCTCTGCTGCAGATCTTAAATGACATTTAAAAGATCGTTCCTTGGTTACGTGATATAAATGTGTTCATGTATCTTTTTGATCTGGGCAAGCTAGATATGTAGAATTATCTTTTCATTTATTGCAGGGTTCATTGGG